TTTGCTTATATTTGTTGAAAGCGATAATAATATCAAATGTGGTTTAGGCACTTTGTTAAAATTATTTGAAAGTAGGAACGAAGTGAATCTTTTTCCTCTCATGGACAATGCAAAAAGGTAGGAACGGGGTGACTTTTTCCCCCTCCTGCACAATGAAAGGGAAAGGAAAATAGGTTGCCATATATTTAGAAGTTCGCCAAGCAAATCATTCTTGGCGCAAACTGAAAAAATTTCGCCAAATTAAATTTTTGAATTTCTCTTAAAATTTCGAAACAATTTTACAAAATTTAATATTTAGACATAATATTGTAAGGATCCTAAGTTTTACTAACGTTTATTTTATTTTAAAACTGTACTATCACTTCTTATTTTCTACTTCTGGACAGAATTAAATGCTTTAACTTGTTTATGCAAATTGTCTTGCTAACGCCCAAGTATTAAGTTGTGGCTAAGGAAGGAAGACACTTGCCACTGCAGTTTTACGAGTTTTCACTCGGTTGCTGGTTGCCCTTTAAGGCCAGAGGTTTAGCCCTCTTGATATTTGCAAACGTATTGTAGTTTCAGCAGCTCGGCGTACTACATACGTACCCTTTTTAAATAAAGGCCAGTCTTAGTGCTAGGCATTTGTATACTAATTCAAAGTTAGCTTTTAGTTAGAGTTTTAGTTAGTAGTTTTATATTCTTACGTTCAGACCACAAGTAGTTGGTCTCTGTATTCCGAAGTTCGGAAGTGCCTGTAAAGTATTGAAAATAAAGGGTTTCGTATACCCTTCCTGCTTGGGTCGTCTGTTATACACAAATCTTGAACATAGCTTGAGTAAGCTTCCTGTTCTTATTCAGGGCCTCCCATGTTTCCAAAGCAAATCAAGAGAAACACACGTTATGACAATATGAGTAGAAGAATCAAAATATGGGAAAAACATTGGTATGTTACTTCCGAAAACGTCCCATTTTGTGTCAAAATACCTATATTAGAACAATGCTATTTATAAATCTAATACATATCCTAAGTTACGCTTTCGAGACATGAAAAATGCAATTTGAATTTCGACAATCGGCCCAGTAGAACGGGAGATATAGAACTGGTCCCCCCCCCTTTTTTTTTTTTTTTTGCAGTGTACATTTGCTTCTTTTACCTGCAAATAAATTAAGAGTCTAAAGGTTTGACAGCAAAGTATTCATTATTACAGCACTTTTTTGAAAGTGCATACTGAAGTACTGTAAAAACGGTTTTTATGATATAGCACTATAGCCGTAAGTCTAGCAATACTTAATATCTGAAGTGCGTTTCCCTGTCTCTGTATAATAATTTAATATGTAAACAGTGTATTGGTAATAATCATTAGATGAAATCTAGCAGTAAGGAAGCAGATGAGGAAATTAGGACAAACTGATATACTGAATATTTGCATAATCGTCTGTACGTTATGTTTAATATTACGCTCTAAAGCTATATTAGAATTCGGAAGTTTATAAAGACCGTAAATAGTAATAATAATAATTAGATTTGCTGAATATGGAAAAGCACATGAGGGCTACCTGTCTAAGGAAAGGGATGCTTTCGTGGAGGATTTTCTGAAGGAAACTGGCACATACTCACATTGCACATGGGAAAAACCAAGGAAAACAATGATGCAGCTAACCCTTTTGCATAGGATCGAATTCGGGTCATTTCTCAGTCTTCAGCGTCCAGGGAGATCAGCGTAAATAGGAATGAAAAATACTGTTATTTCAAAATCTCTAAATAGATGAGCATGCTGTCATCAAGGTGCTTTATTCTGCATATCCACAGCTTATAAATGCGTTATTGAGGGACCTCTGGAGCCTGAAGACAATCAATGCTTTATTTTTGAAATAAGGTAAAATCATACTACATCTATGGCCTACCGTGCCTGTCTCCAGCCATAGGAAAAGATCTTGAAAAATTTGTGTTACGGAAGCTCAGCTATCAGTTATAATATAAATGAACATACATTGGTAGGCACCACTGAAAACTAAGTGAAAACTTCACTGTCGCCTTAGTGAAAGCCGTTAAATAATTGAAGCTTAGTGAGAATTGACAAGCCTATCAGACCAAAAATCTTAAATTTGATTGAATGAACTGAATGCACCTGTTATATGAAATAACATAGCCTATGTTGGAATATGCGGAGAAGTATTTTCCATATACATGTGTGTATATGATATGTGTGTACATTTTCCGAATATATTCTTCATGTGAATATACATGTGTGTATATGATACAACAGGAATTCAAATACTTCATTCGCAGGAAAGAGGAAATGCAAAGTTTTTAAATATTTTCCCCGCTTCCTACTTGGTCCAAAAATTCTTGAAATTATAATAATCCTAAACAGTTATTAAGTATTGGCAAAAAAATTACAATTGATTGATAATTAGAAAAGAGAAAATTTAAATATATTGTTGACCATGGCCTATCGAAAAGAATCAAAGCAGAGAGAAATTATTCCGAATTATAAAAAATTTAGTGGATAACCTTTTATTCCTTGTGAAGTAGGATATTGAAATACCATCTCATAAATCTAGAACTACCTAAATTACAGCCCTCAGCTGCCCCATGATAGCCCCATTATTTCAAAAACAATCTTTGCACTTTCTCTTTGCCACATCCAGGTGGCCGAACAAGAATCGGTGTCTGAAATATGCCTGACGGAACAGAAAACTGGTTCCAAATTCATGTCAAGCAGTCATTAAAAAATTCCATTTACAGTTCCTTGTGAAGCGTGATTTATTGAACATATTTACATAAAAATAAAGAGCTAGCAGATACATAATCTAGACTTCAGTGACGGAGTATATCATCATAAATTTTCATTTGATGATCTCAAAAGAAAATGAGAAAACTGATCCGTATTGACAAGGAAGGAAATGATTCTTCACAGTTTTCCAGCAATGCGTGATGCGGGAGAAAGTTGAATCATGGGATATCCCCAAAACGGATGTAGGTTCAAAGTAGCATGACTTCCGAATATGTTCTTTTTATTATTAGTCCAAAGGGATTTGAATCCCGAAGGACTATTAGTTTCGTTTTGGCATTTTGCGTCGGACTCATAAATGTCGGTTCACTTTTCAAACTGTTGCCATAAAATGTTAGAGTCCTGCATTATATTTGAAGAAATTAAATAATGAAAAATCTGCGTAAATGTATGTATATTTCTCGTATTGTCATAAAACAACGGTACATAGAGTCATCGATCGAATTTTGAATAACGTAATCCTCCAACGAATATGAGCATGTGGAAGACCAAATTTGAAATTTGAAATTTGTTTTGATCGATTTCCTATTTTTTAAAACTTTGACGAATTTTTGATTAACAAACTCAAGGATTTCAAAGCGAGCAATGGCAACGTTGTGCAGAAAAAACATTTTTATCTCCAGCGCGTGAGTCTCTGTATCGGAAATTCTAAAGATATGCTCGTTTTAAAACTATTTTGCGATATTGCTGTTGCACTGGATCTTATGGTTTAAGTGCGAGGAACATGATATTTAATAAAGAAAGGTAACACACAAAATGTTAAAAAACGCCTCTTTGGACGTAATTTAAAATCTGAAACATTGCAGATTTTTTTTATTATTATTTTATTAAATGTATGTAGGTGACGTTAGTCATATGTCAGTACTAGAAACATCTGAACCGCTGTGCAAAATCTTGTTGTAAGTAGACAGTTGCAGCTTATGTTTTTTTGTCCGGCAGAAAGTTCTTCTCATATATTACTACAAGATAATAAAAATATTCAGCTGAAGATGTGGAACTTAAATTTTCTCGTTTTGAATTAATTCACAGTCTTTTTTAAGGCGAGATAAACAAACACAAAACGTAAGACCGATTTAAAACACATTTTTTTGTAAAACGTTTTGTATATGATCTTGTTGTGCTCAGATTTCTTGTTTTGATTATTTTCTTTAAAAATTTTAATATTTCCTGAATTATAAGAATTATTTCAAATTTTCTCTTAAAATGACATTCGAGTTCCACTACTAACTTGCGCCTTTTTCAAGGCTTAACGTGAAATTATCAAAGTACTTTTAGTGCGCCATTTAATTTTATGAGATTTCTTTGAAAATTGTCACCGAATAAATGTTTATAAAGCCAACAGCTTAATACACAAGTTTTGTTGCAGACATGTAGCTCGTGAATTAGAAATATTGAACAAAATTTAAGCAAGAAAATAATTATGTGATATAATTAAGGGGAAAATATCTTTTAATAATTTAGTGTTTTCAGTTTACATCAAAAACGAATGTTTAGAAAGAATTATCAGTTTTACTTAATTTATTAGTAATCTTATTTAAGTTTAAACTGGATAGAAAGCAATAGCATTACAGTTCGTGACTTGCCAAATGTTTCAAAACATATATTTACTGGTTTATGTTCAGTTCAGTTCAGTTGACGATTAATGTGGATACCTATTCCTTGACAATTATTAACAATTATTGCTCCGCATCTATCATTAAGTAGATTTATTATTATTTTAAATAATAATAGCAACATTATTTACATTTTTTATGCTACAACTCATATTAATGTCAACAAAAATCGCAAACCTAGAGGAACAGGAAACTTCTACTTATCTTGTATTGACACTCCTTATGAATTTGCCTGGGGCATATCCAATCAAGCTTTGAGTTTTTTACAATCTACCGCAACTAATATATTCTTTTGAGATGCACAAAAATGTTTCAAACAGTAGCCAGGTAGAAGAGAAACTAAATGAAGCATTTTATATCTAAATATTGCTCCACTAGAAATCATGATTTAGAGTATGTTATCCAGATCTCGTTTCCTAGCTTTAGCAGTTCAGGTGTGGAATATGTAACCATGCGAAAACGGGGTCATGGGTTTGAGTTCTAGTCGATGTTCTTCAGGCCTTTGCAACTTCGTTTGGATTTATTAAAAATCATTATGCATTTCACGTAACTATAAGTTGGAAATATTGTGTAATTAAATGCTCAAGTATTAAATCTTGGAGTTACTTACCTGAGGGTTGTTGAGTGGCGATGAGAGTCCGCTGTCTGCCCATAACAATGCCAATGCGGTGGTGAATACCCAGATAGGAAGGAGGAGAGGCATTGGACCAGGGGTTGAGATCTGGGGAAGGAGGAAAGGAAAGGCAAAGAACGCCCCTTACAGCTCGAGGAATCCGTTCTGGCGGTTTGGATACCACAACTCCAAAATGGCACGATAGCCTCGAAAAGCAACCTGAAAAAAATATGAGACCATTAGAATACATTGCTGTTGAATATATAATATCGCCATGTTAGCAATAAACACAATTGCAATATAAATGCCTGCATGAATTCTGTAACAAAGAAATAAATCAATGTAACGTAGAATTCAGCACAAATGAAATATAAATTTCATGTTGGTAGTAGTTTTGTCCACACTAGCACTCTCGACCCATGTTCGATTAGATTAGGTTACTTAAAAGCAAAAGATATATGCTAAGGGATGGGATGCCTTAATGGAAGACGTTTTAAAGCAACTGGCTCATATTCACGTTATATATAGCGGAAAGTAGGAAAACCCCTACGCAGCCAGTGGTTCGCCTGGGTTCGAATTTGAATGGAACTACCAGTACTCAGCGGTTAAACTCGAGCACTCCGGAGTAGTTAAACTCTGATACTGGTGCGGCTGATTCACGTGTCAAAAGTGTCGGCCACAGGAGCGTTTTCGTAATTTCCTTCATGTGTAACGTGAATGCCTGCATAGGGGTTTCGTGGTTTTCCCCATGTGTAACGAATGTATGAGTCAGTTTTCCTTAGGAGTCCTCCACGAAGGCACCCCTCTACTTAGACAGATAGCTCTCGATGCTTGCCGTAATCAGATGAAACCAAACCCTTAGAAACTCTTCCATGAAGGCATCCATAGTTTTAGCCCACAGTCTGTAAGGGTTTTGCTGTATTTGACTAAAAAAATAGAAAAAAGAGAAGAAGATTGTTTTTGTTCTTATTTATTTCACATATTTTGTAGTAGACAACAGAGTTTGAACGAAATAGGTGCCATAACTCTAATCTTTCTCTAAGAAGCTCAGATTTAAAACTTTAAACGGAAAGACATTCTGAAATAATATTTGATAACATTTACTGTCGAAATTTTAGTTTTGACGAAGTAAAAAAAAATTAATGTGCACATTTTGTTAATTTAAGTCATTTTGCTAATTTAAGTCATTTTGCACATTTAAATCAATGCTTATTTTCTCAAAGCATGGCAAAAAAAAAAAAAAAATATTGACCATTTTTTAACGTTTAGTTTCAGTCTGTAAACAAAGCAAAAACCTAATTCATTTGATAATTAGATAATTAAAAATAAAGGATTTTGGATAACATAAAATAGATTTCTGTACTTCATGTTTTATCTTCGTAAAGTACATGTTTTTAATGAATTGTTGCTACCATAGCACGGTTTCGTTTTTTAAACGCATTTCGAACTGCCTGCTATTGCTGCTCATTCGAGCGTGTATATGTCTCCTGTTGTCAAAAATTAGCAGAATTCCCAGCTCTTACTTTCCTTTAGTCAGAGAATTGGATGTAATTTCTGCTTCAGTCTGTTGTTGAACGTAACTTCTGCTTTAGTTGCTTCAGTTGCTTCAGTTGTAACGACATAAGAAGCATATGTAATCTCGCAAACTGAGAATTAATATTGTTTTATAAGCCTTAAAATTGTGTATAATATTGTTCATTACTTTATTTGAGAATCAGCTTTATTTTAAAAGCTCTAAAAATGTACGAGATTATACATTCTTTTACCTTTCTTAAGACAATACTTAAAATTTTAAAAACTTTTTTCAAAAAAAAAAAAAAAAAAAAAAAAAAAAAAAAAAAAATAAGGTATTTTTCCCGCCTTCTTAGCGAGTCTTCGTGGTGTAGTGGTCTGCACGCTCAGCGTGTCATTGAGAGGTCCGTGGTTCGATTCCGGCGAAAGCGTTGCTAATTTTTCAATATCTCTTACTTCCAAAAAAATCCTAATGTCTCTACAAGAAAAAAAAATTCTGAAAGTTTTTAGAATTTATATTACGCCCAAATGGGCTTTTTTAAATGTTTTGTGTGCTTGTTATACCTGTGTTAAAGCAGCGTAAATCAATTTAATATTGCCGATCATGATATGTACTATGAGTTTTCTGGATGCTGAATAGAAGGATTCGGAACTATGTACAATCATTCGAACAAACATTTCCGCTTTTGTAAAATCGACTTAATGTTTATGGTTTAACATTATTTACTATAAATAAAAGAAATGTATGCGAATTATCCTTTGGATCTATATAAGTGATTAATGAGCTACATGATGAAATATTTAACAAGAATAAAAGAATAATAGCTAATTTATTTCTCTACTTCAAGTAAATGAATAATGAAATTTATAGCATTACCAAATTTTAATTCAAGTTGAGAAGAAATAGCATTTAATTAGTCTTTCTAAAAACAGGTAAATAAAATCATGATTCCCATGAAATTAAAAAAAAAAAAAAAGAAAAATGTCTGGCTAGTAATTCAAAGGCAGTTTTTCTCAGATGCATTTTCAAGATAAACCTCGTGAATAACAGTCAGTTCACGTTTCAAAGGTTGTAAGGAATATGCCTTTTACTATATGCAACTTGTGGAAAATCTTCAGTAAGATTATAAGCGACTTGTCGCTATGTCTAAGTTGAAAACAGAAACGTAAGAAGGGTGTAAAAGGCCCGTTTGTTTAGGCACATCTGGTGCTTACAAATCAGCCGTCAGTTATGGCGAGAATTCATAGTAGAATTTAAATTTTAAACTGAATATAAGTATTTATTAAGCAAAGGTTACAAAGAGAAATTTAAACCCAAAAGTTGGCTCTTAAGCTTACACCGGCGTTAAAGAGCTATTCGCAACAACGCCGAAGACAGGAACTCTCATTGTAGAACAGCAAACCAATAACGTGGCCTTCAGCAGCCAGAAAACGCTCTATCTACACAATCTCAAACCCTCACTTAAATACGCGTGAGATAATTTGTATTCTGGTAGAAAAACGGAAAAAGAGAAGTGAAAGTACAGGTTCAGAACATAAAATAACTGGTTAATTAACATAAACAAACCCTACAAGGTATGAAGACGTAAGAGCACGCCGACGTGGAGAATAAAACAGGCAAATCGACCATTTTGTATTCGGCGTAGATTTTTTAAAACCCCAATCGATTTCGAGGGCAAAACGTGTTCCCCTTCATCAGGAGCAAAAGCGAGAAAGCGAATGTCGAATATCGAACTAGCTAATCATAGTTGGAAATTCAATCACAATTTTGATTTTAAATCTGCTAAAATTATCCAGAAAGCTGGTTTTATTAGGGATTTGGATTTTCTTGAAGATTTTCACATTCACAAAAATTTATCCTGTTTAGTCAATGACTATATTTCCAATCCAGTCTTGCCTAATGCCTTTAAAATTCTACAAACTTAACCCTTCATTTTTCGTTACTATTTCTGCCGACAGATGGCGCTATCGGCTCTTCCACTGGCGCTATCGGACTGTAGGGTATAAATATGCTCGACATTCGCTTTCTCGCTTTTTGTATATATATATAAAAGTAAATCTTATGTATATACTCATTTGATCTATGTTAACTGTAGTTATTGCTTTGATATAATTCGCAACAGCGTACCTATTGTACAAAGGGTAGGGTTCACGATAACCCAGATACCCTGGCGCTACACCGTTCCACTGGAGGTCTTTCTCGCTTTTGCAAAATTTTTTGCTCCTGATGAAGGGAGACACGTTTTTCCCTCGAAATCGATTGGAATTTTACAAAATCTACGCTGAATACAGGGTTGTTGATTTGATTGCTTTATTTTTTTAATTTCCTTCAAGGTATCTCCAGAAAGTATCTCTGCTAAGGTAGATAACCTTTGCAGAACTTGCTATAATGAATTAATCAACAATTTAACCAAGGTCATGATTTCCTTCAAGTTATTCACCTAATTTAATCTTCATACCTCAGGCTATTACACCTTAAATTACGGTTATAGTAATTTAAAATGTAATCTGAGACTCAAAAACTGATGAGATAAGTTGTCAAATTTAATTCTGTTATCTTCTACATGCAGGGTATTAAACAAGCGACATCTTTTCTATTTTTATAGCCGTGCCAGATCGTCAACATGCTTCATGAAGAATTGCATCACGTTGCGGAAACACGCTTCATTCATGAAGTAACTCATCACGTTGCACTGATATCACGTTGGTTTTTTCTTTTGTTAGTAATATTACAATGAAGTATATTTTACAACTTAAAGTTATTCGTTAAATAATTCCTCATTAAAACAACATTGTCCTTAAAGTAAAGCTTAATAAGAACAATAAATCAAAAATTAAAATCCGAACAGGTTATGTGTTTCCCGCAATATAACTGCCGTTATATTGCGGGAAATTTGCTTTTTGTTTTAATTCATGAGATGTTTATCATTCGCTTTGACCTTACGATTAGGTCAAGGGGAATTACCTTGGAAATGAAGCAAGATATTCACGAAATTTATTGGTAATTAATCTTTTGTAACGAGGAGTATCCAAGGCTGTGTCTTAAAATGGATTTCTTAGTATTCCCCAAGTTGTCATCCATGCGATGGCTAACGAACAATGTTATACTTCATTATACTACGAAGATAGTAAATTAACGGTAATGAATAATTATTAGAATTTAATCCATGTAGCTTTATTTGATTCTATTGATATGGATTAGTTATTGAATTTTTATAATAGTTATGAATTCGATTAAACGTTCTTAAAATCTATAAAGAAAGAATATTACTTTCTTCGGGGTTTTTAGGAGGCTTAAACATTACTCTATTTTAAGGAACGTCTTGCCTATTTAAACCAACTGTCACAATGTGTTGCATTTTAGAATATAGTTTTGGAATGTTTAATGAAAGTTTTAATCAGTTCCCGCTCAGGCGGTAGAGTGGTTAGGGACCCTGACTGCAGTAGCGATAGGCCCGGGTTCGAATCGCGGTTAAGACATGGTTGTAACTGTCAGTCTCTTCATAGCAGGCAACGGTTGTCACTTATTAGGTGCTTCCATAGTGAAACGGCCACCTGTTCCGTATCTTGTAGCGGCTTTACTCTTCTCTGGGCACTTTGCCCAGCCGTTTTTTAAAAAAAAGTTTTAATTACTCACATTGAAGACGCACGTTTATAATTTAAAAATAATACTTTGTTGAGTATAACACATAAATATTTAATACTTT